ACTTCCGACTTGGTGCTTGTTTGCCATATGATTTCAACGTTCTCGTATTCGGTTTTAGATCCTTGGATGAACGCAACCTTTTTCGGACGTTCCTAGGTAGTGATGATTTTTTTTCGTCATCTGACATGTTTGATGATCTGTAGTCTGACTGCATTTTTTTTTTTTTGGTTTTTACTTACGTGCGCTTTCCTACCATGTAGGCTGTACGAACGGTGATTCGGGTCGTCTCCGCCCTGCGACGTCGTATGTGCTGTTCTTGACACTAATAAATCATACACTAACAATAGCATTCCGACAAGGAACGGCTGCTCCCTCTTTTTAAACGTGATTCTGTGCGGGTGCCCAACTTTGGTTACATGGTGTTCGCCTCGCGCGTAGTAGTAGCCCGTGCACTGTTGGTGTAGACTAACCGACGTCGCGATCCAATCTAGTTGGCTCCGTGATCGATCAAGTTAGTTGGTACTGCTCGTTGGGAGGCGGTTTGTGCACGGGCGCACGACAACAGACGCCTAATTCGTCCCGTACTTGAGCATTCGATATCACCCCTGACTCAACGAGCTGCACGTAGCTACTTCGAACTAGTAGCCCGCCGTTCGGGCGCAACGCGGAGGGACCACCTGCGCTAGGTTAGCGTTACCCATCCGGCACTGGTGTCATGGTCACCAAAAAGTGGTGAGCCGCGGAGCCCATCCTCGGAGCTGATGACAGAACGTGAGAAAATCAGCTCGCTGCTAGTGACGATTCGCATGTTGTACGCGGCCAAACAACATCAAAAAGTAGAGTAAGGCGCAGGTATAAGGATACGTTTTTTGAAGTGCTGAATGTATGACAAAGGGGTTCGATAAACACGATAAAGCCTCCAGAACAGGGTGCAACACGAATGAGAAAACCGACAAGTGACACTCCCTCGGGGATCTAAAACCGAATACGAGAACGTTGAAATCATATGGCAAACAAGCACCAAGTCGGAAGTCAACACTACTCAGACACAGTTTCATCACAACCGAAGTAAGAGACGAAAAATGAATCATCACTGCAGCCAATGGGATCTGTACCGCAACTAGCCGCATGGCATGCCGCAGAATTGTTCTTCCACATATACGGCATACGCTCCGTACTCGAAGCGCACTTGATATTGTGGATGCAAGCACTCGCTCACCAACTTACTCAAGCATCAAATAGGGCCGATGCGAATAATCTCCGGGTCCGTTCCCGGTCACGGACGCCAGACAGTGCAGCCACCCAAACGAACCCGCGAGGCCGACGACAAACTCATATACCAACCCTGAAAGAGATAATGACCAGTGACTGTGTGAATTAATGCAATCAGGCGTTCAGTTCAGCATGACAACTAAGAGAGAGGAACATTGCCTCATCACGCACTACCCACCAGCAAGCCTAGCAATGGACGTCAGCAGCTCACTAAAACAAGACGTCTTCTTATCATTTTAGGAATCTCGGTTACTCATATTCGATGCTGATCCACTTAGTCATTTTTGCAGTTAAATCAATTTTTGCAAAGTAGGTAGTGGTTATAAGTCTTATCTGCTGACTAATTTTATGAGTTCCCTAACAGACAGGGTTCTAGACAAGGGTTTTGTGAATCCGACTTTTACTTCCAAAAACCAACTTGACAATCCCCTCCATTCCACCTTATTTGCTCTTGTTCTAGTCTTCCTTGAAGGGACACTTGTGTGACCTAAGGTTTTCGTCTGGTCCTTGTACTTGTGGGCTGGCCTTCGGACCATGTTAAGGCCAATCATTTGTTTTCCTTAGAATACATGTATTCAGCTTCATTTACTGTCTTCTTCCACCCGGTGGGAAGTCTAGGGACGCCACAGCTTGGAATATGATTAACTGTACTTTCGTATATAGGTTCAATTAATAATGTGAAGTATGCTTAGGGTATCAGAACTGGCCTGATGAAGGTCTTCGTAGGCGACTTGCTCTGATTTCCAATCGTGCCTATAGGGAGTATCTGTCTCCCACCATGTTTTTGAACCACGGACTTCAAGAGAAGGTTAGTTGCAACAGATGAGCCGAATAGCAGATATCACGCGGGGGAATTTCACACGCGGATGTGCGTTTGAATTCGCTCCCCCCTTCTCTCTATGAAGGTCAACTTAAACACTGGCATACAATTCAATATCCACACCTCCTTCCCACAGAGCACCATTTGAGAGACCCATATGCGATACAGACCATGCTAGAATGGTTCCAAATCTTTATCCAAAACACTAAGATCGTTTATATGAACCAAGCTTCTACAGCAGTTATTCTTGCTGACAATTGATATCTACCACTCCTTAGAACATTTATGGCCTGATTTTCTAGACGATATGCTGATCCGACGCCCGGAATTGTCTTCAGCTAGTTTACCAAGTTTTTTGTCATTTCGTTCGCGATGACTTCCTTACTAGGCGACCCAAACATTGCCAATGGCATGCTCTGTAGATGCCGGCTGATGTCATCCATAGCACCCTTCCCAAAGCTCAGACTGCTACTATTTTTCGTCGACTCATTTTCACCTATTTTATGTTATGTTTTTCCGCGACAATTATTAATTCAACGCACCCATCGCTCTTCTCAAACCAAGTAATGGCGATACAGAAAAGAATGTGTCCGACCCTTAGCTAGCTATGTATAGATTGAGAATTTAGTGATCAATGCAAAGCACCTCACCGCCAACTATAATGAGTTAGACCCAGAGCTGACAGTATCGAAACTATGAAATTTTCTAACAGAGTGAGTGACTAGTCCGTTTTGAGGAAGGCGAAAACCAAACACAGGTTAAAGGTGAAATTCTTGAGCGAGAGATGAGAATGCAACTAGACTCCTGCCCTCAAGGAGCAGGACCATTCCTCTGACACCGAGGTCATATAACACTTTCCATCCTAACAAGTTATCATGACGATGGCTCAAAACAACCACTTCTGCTGCACTAAACATAGCGCTAGGGAATCAGAGGGGAACGAAGAACTCACCACAGAAGGCTTGCAAAACCAAGAAAAAATCGAATAAAAATATGGCAACCTTTTCATACAATAAGGGTCATCTTTGCGCCGTACAGATCACCTGATTTAAGACTTCTGAAGAGAACTGTCTGCAATCCTTTGGAAGATCGCTCCCTGGAGGGCATGGAACAAACAACGGCCAAACTAATAAAGCCTATGGCAATACAGAAACCGTGCGAAAATGCATAGGCACCTTCATCAACGTAGCCAAGCAGTGTTCGCTGAGTCTTGTCCGAAATAGGACCTAGCGAGGGATCGTCTGTGATCAGAGGTGCAAAGACCTCTGCCCTTGCTTCCGGCACGCCACGTGATGTGACCTCAAGCTTTACCTAAAAGGCATAGAAGGGCCTAAACAGACGTTTGAGCACACGAATCTATAATCAGCATTAATAACTTGGTAAGAGCTCATAAGTATATATTTCCATCTAATTACCAGCTGCTGTATTTATACGGTGTATTACCTACTAATGGAAAGGATATGTATGACCGCTATAGCTAACGGAACGGTTTGCATCAATGTCGGTCACAAATGCTCAATTTAGGGCGACAAATGGGGCCTACTACAATGGAGCAAAGCCTGTGGAGACGCACCATAATGAGAGCTCTAGACAGACGAGGGTCATATCGCGAGAGGTGTTCCACGGTAAGGTGTCTGGCTCGCGGATCTCCGGAAAGGAGTCGGCGCACCACTAGAACTAGCAGGGCCTTGTCACGCAACACGAAAAAGCCTTCTCCCTCGGTCCGAGGGGAGACTGGTTCAAGCAACTGCAACCAATCCTTGGACATAGGTGCAGCGCACCGAAACCTGATCCGTGCTCTTCGTTTGGCGTCACTCGTTAGCTGACTGCACCGCAAATGACAAGTGGATTTCAGTTACCGCCAAATAGGAGCAATACATGCAAATTTAGTCTGGATGGAGAATTACCATTTGTAGCAGATTATGCCATCAAAAATTACTCGTTTTAAATGATTTCAAAGTACCCCGCAAGAATTTAATTCTTACTATATTTCTGCAGCCGTTCTTGTCAAAAAATAAGAGACGATTTGATTATCACTCAGTATGCATACAGAAAATAAAACTAAACTAACTGACTATACGCAAAGGTATAATAAAGTGTGTCATCATAGGCGAGGTACAATGCTTCCGAAACCACCTATTTCCTAGTTAATCCACGAGGGGTCTACTAACGGCAAAAATGCTTTTGTATTAAAGTATTAGTGAGTTGAACGTCACTAAGGCCGCACAAGTGATCCAATTTACGCAAATATCGGTTATTCCAAAATTTAAAATCGAGGACAATAAAGAATTACCACGCAAAACGAAAGGCTTTAAGAACAGTCAACAGGTGCAGCCTGATAAATGGTTGAGTTCAAGTTTGATAGCAAACAAAACTTAAACTGTGGAAGGGTAACGAAATTAGATCCACCTTGACAACAACTCCAACCATATACGCCGAGGCGATGTAGGCTCAGCATTAATGTTCGTAGTAAACAAAAAGCCTTAAAACAACCTGTAGTTATAAGATGAAAGAAAAACAAAAAGTGTGCCAAGTAATATTAGCATAGCGCTTCTGCATGGCCATAATCATGGTTACTTGGTGTTAATATTTATCAACAGTACTGTACCCGTTTGAATCTCGTTCGATTTTGAGGTGGTCATTTGTGTCAGTGATGCAACATGCGGCAGGAGTATCAGGCCATAGAGCATAGGGAAAAGCATCAATACGTCCTGCAGCCTCGGTGGTGAGAATTGCCCATCGTAGCTGGTCTCGCAAGCCCCCTACGCGTACGCCGCGATAGGTACAAGCCACCACGAAGTCTCGCGGTGCAGAAGTGTCGACGCGTGGTGCTGTCATCAGTCCCGATTCTTGAGGTGGTGACATAGTACCAGACGGCTTTAGCAGTTTTCTGGGTAGTACAACATCCCAGCCCACACATTGAGACTTCTGACTTGCAAGGCTGGGGGTTCCATTTTGGATCAGAAGGATGGGAATACCTGTCTTGAAGGTGAGAAAAACCGGTAGAAATAAGTAACTTTTCAAAACTGAAGATGTCATCCAAAGCAATGGTTTGTAATAGCTTTCCTAGTTGTAAACTAACATCAGCAATGCGCAAGAATCATTAATAACGCCTGAGGACAGCAATTTACAGGCAATGAATCTCCTATTCTAATGACTGCTAGCACAAGGCATTCGCTATGTCGCTTTATTGTTTATGAAAGTTACAGCGATAATGGGAACATTCTCCTTCCCAACAATCCCTCTTGAACTTGAAAAACACGAGTCAGTGATGAAATTTCCCGGAAACCGCAATAGTCATGCATTCCTTGCACGAGATAGTTACTTTGAGAAGTGGGTAAATGATCCTACGCGCATGGTCAGAATTTGAATCGACCTCAGTTAATAGCAAACCATATTCGGTAGTCCACGTGGGAACTTCCCATACATAGTTGGTTACATTTTGACATACCTATCCGTATTCAAACATCGTTTACCGGGATTATTTGAGAAGTCTAAAATACATCACATTACTTTTCCGCTACATGACTTCTCTCAGTGAGAGACGATTCTCGCCGAAATAAGAGAAATAATGGAGCTGAAACCTGTTGGTGATGTACTCAACACACCAACTGCCAGGCTTAAGAACACAGAAAGATACCACAAAACGCCATGAATGGGAGAGAATCCTACCTCAGAAGAACAGCAGGGTTCTGGAGAGGAAAAAGACTGAATAAGAAAAGCACCGAATTCGGCATCACAGTGATCGTGGCGAAGTTTGGTTAGTTCACCCAATGTCAAGCACTTAGAGACAAAACTGGGCCTCAACTGGGTCGTCGATTCGCCCTCGTTTGGCATCTGAATTAGCCAGTTCCTGTTGTGTAGCTTGAGAAGCGGCCTAAATGCAGTCAAAGGAGCATGGTCATTAAGCGTCCGTCGCTTTGGAAGTAACCAGAAATCAACACAAGTAAAAGACTCGCCTGCTTTTAAGAAAAGGTTCACAAAGGAGTGCTACGGTGCAGCCAGTGGGAAGGAGACCAGCCTTTTTGTAAGCACATAGAGCTTCCCACAAGGCCCACTCTCCAGTTGTAAAGGTTGAATGGGTGGGCAAAGATGGTGGTGGCTTCACAATATCAGCAAGGACTTGATGCGCGAAAGGACCAATGAGTTTCATGCGGCACAGATGGCCCGTGCAATCGACCAACTTGAGAGATGCTCTTGACCCATCCGAACCGGTGGAGATATAGTCCAGCGAAGTTAACAGCTTCCAAGCATCTGAAGACACGCTAGGATGCAGCCAAAACCATACAGTGGAACATCGATGACCATCATCCTATGAGTGGAAGTCATTAATGAAAGTAGCAGTCGAAAGTTTACACTGAATAAGTTACTAAAACTAGGTGTAGAAAATTGAAATAATAAGTTGACGCTCCCAGTATCCCAGTTACAAACGACAAACAAGCATTATGCTAACGTTCTGACTAGCTGGACCCCATAATATTCGCACGGGGCCAAGAATGGATCGAGAGATATTCGGAAGACGAGCAACACCCATCAATCGTTGAGTTGGTATTGCTTCAGAACACAAAAGACCAACTGATTCGTGGAAGCTAGTCGAGGAGGAAGCATCCGATGGAAGATCGATGCCAATGCAGGACACAAAGAAGGGAAGCGTAGTCTCTTCAACACAAATTTTGAGCAGATTACAGGCTCCAGATAGAGAGAAGCAACTCAAGTAGCCGTGATCAAGCAACATGCACCGACTAAAAGGAAAGAAGCCTGGAACCACTATCGATGTTTATATAATCTCAAACTAGGTCAAGTAACGATTACGTTAATTTACTTGCTAGCATTATGATGAGGTGGGACAGGGCCGAAGGGAGACAAATTGGAAGGAATGTAACCTGTTTCCAATGTGTCAGATATTTTTTATTTAAATTGCGTACCCTAAAGAAACTCATGAAGAACACTGGAGTGGAACAATAAATAAGTATGTGACGTGCAACTAGGCTTGCAAAGTTGATTAAGTTACAAACACTCATTAATTCCAGTTCTTAAAAATAGGTGGAGGAGAAATAAGTAGATCGAAATGAAAACGCACTCTGTGGTGGCTCGTTGGAGAGCTTTGAACATCTTATCGGTAGGAGCAAAAGGTAAACGCCAGCCCCAGTTCTCCACCATGTGGAAACGCTTGGCGTGCCAGAGGGCTGTGGGAATCCAGCGTATTCGGCCATCGCCCTCGCCTCCACCTGTGGGTGTAAGAACACGTCGCGTCGCCAACGCCATCAGTCGCTGAGATCGTCGCCGGTAGCGCCGACACCGCTTCGCTTGCTTCACCAGCTTTTGGCTCACCTGCAATTGTGCCATACAGTTGTATCAATTTTCGACAGACATGAGGTCGATATTGTGCAAATGATTGCATTTCGGGACAGAACCGATTTGGAATCTGAACGGTACATAAAGTACTTACATGTGTAAAAAAACAGTCAAGTCTTTTGTGTCTATTACAGTATTACGAAATGCCAGCCCTTGCGTAAGAGACTCAAGCATGACACGAATGAACAAGAATCGTGAGTCAGTGATACTGCTGCCGTTCTCAAACTACAATTCAACGGCTTAAAAACAAGATAGGAGCCACCGACATTAAAATTCCGGCATGTAGGCACCAGTCGCTACAGGCAAATATAAAGCTTTTCCCCTTTATAAAGCAGTGAACGTCGATTGGTGCGCATGATACGTAAATCATTTTGCAACTATATGCGAGAGAAACTGACAGTCTGTGATAGTCCAAGGTGGAGACGCCTGGGAAGGCGGCGGAGCTGATGACTGGCAGCACGCCTTCGGAGACGAACAGGCAGCCGTTGGAGAGGGGCAATAGCCCGCGCAGTAGCAACGTGCAGGGAAGCCTCACAGGCCATCATTTCCGCAGAACGTGCGGCCAAAAGGCGAAGCACATCTACGTCGGGAGAGACCGCTTCATCGTCGCCATTTCCACAGTCTAGGTTACAATCAGTAGTTTTGCAGAAATTCATCCAAGTCTAAAGTCAAGGATCCTAAATAGTGGAGAGATAAAAGTGAGCTCGCTGCTAATATATTAATTTCAGCACAAGTCACATGCAAACCCAAAAGCTTCGTCAGAGTTGAGTTTCGAGATAACTCATGAAAAAAGGCTAAATACCAGAAGTTCCCTACAAAACCACACACCTCATTGTGGTAGGCATAGCGAGAGTAAATAAGTGAAGCATCTAAGTTCGGGGAGAGTTAAAATGAACTTTGGTAGCTTTTACCAAATGTTGATTTAAGTGGGTGCATCATCTACAGATAGAAAATGTTACTCAGTCCGTCAGAACTGATTCAAGCAAACGTATACGAGATTAAACCAAGGCACAAATGAGCACAGCACACAAAACCCTCAATCAGTAGAGGGATTTCTGTTTACTTTCATCGCCTTCCGGAAATAATGGCGCTTACCAAACCATTGAAATTACACCCTAATAATATACAGGCACCTCATCAAAAAGGCCTAGCAACAATCTTTGCAAGAAAAGCACTTTGAAGTCGTAAATTTTGCGCATAAACATGCAAACGCGAGCTTCCACTCGGTAAGTGCAACACACGAATGCATGGAAGAAGAAGGGTTCAGAAAAGGTAAAGCCTACTTCGCGTGTGCGGGAGGCATACATTATCAAGTACAGTCCTTTTTGGAGGCAGAGGGAGGGAGGTAGGTAAGGAAGAGGACTCCAGCCTCAGAGACAAACAGGGTTGATAATAAAAAGAATGCCGGTGGTGACCAAGGTCAGGAGAATTGAGGGGAAAGGGGAACGAACATGAATAGATCCAGGAAAGACAATGCGTGATGTCCTTGTCACCCTTCAAAACATGCCGAAGCCCTTTGAATAGGTAATGGCCACCCGTAAACAGCGCTCCAGCTTTTCCTTGCTCGAGTACTCCGGCAACAAAAGAACGTTGAAACAAGTGTGGGCAGTCGGCAGTCTAGGCACAGAAATGGGCAAATCAAATCCTCGAATTTTCTTACAGTGCATTTAAAGAGAAGTGAGGCAAGTACAGGAAACTGTCCAAGACACACACAATATAATAGTGAGACATCCATCCACGCTAGTGGCAGCGTTAACACAACCAAAGGTTGCGTGTAAAGATAACCATAAAGACTTCCAGCATAACCCACTAAGAAAGGGTATGTAAAGAGCACTGCAGATACTGGAAAGAATGCGAGATTATTGACTAACAACTTGCCTATCGGAATCAGGACCCTGCCTAGCGATGACAAATTTCATGCGCGACATGCCGCCAACGGGGATGCGGTCGGTGCCAGTGGTGAACTGAAGAAGCTTGCGCTTCTCCTCTTCAGTCATTGCGTGCACCACAGACCAGAACTGGCGGACCACAATCGTCTCTGCGCTGTAGTCACCCTCATATTCCGTCACGCGTTCCAACTCACCGAAGTCGTAGTGCTAACATGCACCAGAAATGCAGTTTGCGTTAAATTGCACAAAATTGTCGTGGCAAGTACCATCATTGCTCTTGTATGCACAAATCATCAGACATGGACTTGGGAGAATAAGCCCATTCAATATACGTTTTGGTTACTCTTATCTTACTGAATCTGGACTGCTGAAGGTTCAAATGGCATAATTCGAGTTGAAAGAGAAGGAGAGCTGTGTATGTATACTAGTGTTTGAGTTGACCTAATAGGAAAGAGACGGTTTGTCAATTCGAACATGAATCCCGTGCTTGAAGAACGTGAGGATTCTTCCGCGGAGTAACGTCGGATCGCCTTCTTAGCCATACCCATAACTTTTTCGATTCATTAAAGGGTGCCCGATAAGCCTTCTTCAAACAACCTTCTCATGATGCCAGAGGCTCAAGAAGCCGAGAGTAGGCTTGGAGGACCCTCACTGATCTGACACAAAGGATCCTTCAAGAAGTTCCTTGATGTATGGAGAGAAACGGAACTAACCTGACTACCTTCATGGTGTTGCCATAGCTATTTTCTTAGATGCAGGGAAAGGTAAAGCGAATGGACATTTTTAGGCCTCGAGGCCTAAATGTTCCAATAGTGTAAACAAAAAGATCCTTATCCGTTTAAAGAATTAGGCATGTACCTGACTTCCAAGCAAGAGGAGCTCAATCTCAAAAGGAGAGAAAAGATGGAACAGTGGTGTATCTCCCACAACGGATAGGAAGCCCCTCCGGAAGGCAGTGAACTGTTTCCTTACAGAGGTATTGAGTAGAAAATCAACCGTTTGATCAACGAATTCCTAAGACAAAAATACAAAGCATTAAGGCTGTTCTTAAGTAAGACAATGGTTTGGAATCGCTTTAATTGTTATAACCATATGATCATCACGAGTACCATCAGAGTTAGTTATCATCCTTTCCTATTGCCAAGGTTTCATATTAGCAACGGAATTTGTGCAAGAGATTAACTTGATAAGATGTACCTGAGTAGAAAATAGAATATCGGTAAAGGCAATAGCAATACGCGATTACGAAAATCCAATGATCGCAAGGCTTGCTAGAATTGTCTGGCGCTATATCAAGGGAACAGCGACGATTTGGCATTTCTAGGGAAGATGTGTTTTTATAGCACATCTGGCCTAAATAAAACTTTATTTCCACAAAAGACGTTATAGAAGGTTGCAAGCAACGACCAGGTACAACAAAGTTTATAGTAAACAAGGCTTCTACAGGCGGTAAAATGGGCAGAAGAGAGCCGCGTACTTGGCGATTGTCGACGGTGACAGGTTTGGATGTACCATGGGAAACCAATTCGTGAGTCACCACCTGACCAAACATGTCTGAGTAGGTGACCACAAAGCTGAGGCAGTGATCGTCCTCAAAGTTGTCCCCATCGTAATCCAACAGTGCCTTAAACAGTTAAAGCGAATTGACCATTTGATGATAGGTGTAAAATTTCAGCGTGCTAAAAAACGCGTAATGTGGTATGCAAAGCTGCAATGATATTTGAGTTTAGCACGCCTTCCCGACTTTGTTTAGTGCCTTTATATGTACTTTTCAGGTGGTAATTCTTATCAGCTCAATAACCATTTCTTCAGCCACAGATCATGTAGCGCATACCAAACAAATTAAAAACTAATTAAGTTGAGTAGGGTCAGATTTGGAATTTTATTACTCTCTGTTGACGAAAGACGCATCTCACTTATGCGACATGAATAAAGTGACAGCAGTATCGGACATCCAAAATTAATGCCTTACAATTAGGACCCAGGACTATGCTACTTGAAAGAAAGTGCATGAAGCAGAGTCCAATATCTTGATTAAAATGAAAAGATTTTTTTGTTAGACCTTCAACCGAAATTACAAAGTAGTGTAGGGAATAAAGGCATTGCAAACTACACAAAAGACAGAAACTCAAGAGAAACTAATGCCTCGATCAATAAAAAAATATCGCCTGCAAATAAAGCCAAATTGCATCGATTATAAAGGCGTCCAAATGTATGATGACAGATTGAGGCCCTATCCAAATAATAAAATGATAGTGGCAAAGATACAAATCAGCACTCAGAAGCCACGGTCCCATAACTTGCATGACCCCGAAAGTGAAGTCATTACACTAAGGCTGATTGCAGGCAGTGAAAAAAAGGCTATGAGAAAGAAGGGCAACGAGGATTACCTGGAGACCGTGCGCTAGAGCAGGCCATCCGTCCTCAAGGTCCTCCAACCCAGAAGCAAGCTTTCCGCAGAGCTTGCGAAAGAGCACTGCAGGAAAGTGTACATCGAGAATGATGTTGTTGTATATGGCCAGACCCAAAATGGTTCCAATCAAGCAGTATTCTCGTTCTAATTCCTCCGCCAGAGGACTACGATTGAACCAAAAACACTGTGACTCATTCTCGTAGACAAACATGCCTGCAAGGAAAGGAAAGGATTTGAATTTGGCTTCCTTTGGAAACTAGACAAAAACAGTCACAAGTGCTGTAAGTTGAATCGCCATGGTAACACAAGATTTGCTGGGGAGGACGTAGAAAGAAAACCAGATCTCTGCATCTTAAAAACTGCTAATTGCATCAAAATGCACATCGATGATAAATGTAGCTTATTCTTATTTAGCACTGATGAAATAAACACTAAGAATTCCTGCATGCCGAAGGTTATCAAGCAGGCAACAATCCATCCTTCGATAGGTCTAAATTTGTTCCCAGCTTTACAAGTGATTCGAATTTTCCCTAAGGGAAGCATAATTAGGCTGTGTTTAACAATCCATATGCCCATATTTAATCGAACTCGTTTAAACCGTATGTCTTTCTAAATACTGACAATTTCAAGGTATAAACAATTTAAAACAGACCGTAATCCGGATTGAAAATGCGCTCCACGATGAGTTGGAAAAACTCCTTACTGAGACCACCTTCATCAATTCCCTGTTCCCCATCGAATTCGACGAAGAGTTGCTTTTTCAAATCCCCCACAGCTTCCATCCGGGTCAGCTCCAGCTAAGAAGTTCAAAACCATAAGCAAACAGTGAACATGACTATAAGCACATTAAACAGCAAAAAAAAATTAAACGACAATTGTCGCTGGCATAATGACAATCCATCTTTGCACAATGCGGCACTTTAGACGCGAGTGAAATTACCTGAAGCAACTCCTGAGATTGAATCGAGAATTATTTAATAAAACCAGATCTGGAGAAAATCCCATGATCTGTCAGTTTAAAATGGTATCGTTTAAAGGAACGAGAAATAATAACGCTGATGAAAAGCAAAGGAAATGTGAATGAGTTTACTGCAACCAGAGCATCTTCTACAACGCGCTCCCGATTGACACAGATTTTGAAGTAAGGCATCTCAAGGGCGGCGTCGGAGGTTGAGGTGGCAAAGAGGGCGTGAAGAATGGCACCGCGGCGTTCCTGCAGCATGTTAAGCCGATTGTCGTAGTAGAGTTGGGTACTCTTTGTCGTTGTTTGTAGCATGAAGGGCAACTCCATGAAGGAGAGCTTCTCTGGCCACCCAGACCTCTGCGAACGGAAGTTAGCGAAATCCTTCTCCACCTAAAAGCGTTTGATTAGTGGTTTTGGCCACCCACGAAACAGTTGACAAGTTTTTTTTTCTAATACCAATTAGAAGAATATAGAAATTAAGAGCAACGGTTAGTCTAAAGCTCTGGCAGTTCCTTGCGTGAAATCTAGCTTGCAAGAGGAGTACACAGTGTTCTCTAATAATCAAAATGTCAACTCACAACGAGTGTTACCGAACTCCCCGTTATGAAAGGTGAAATTTAATCACACGTTCACAAGGTCATCAAACGAAATTAAAAGGGATAACCCGAAAGTCAGCCCCTATTCTTTCCATAGAGATCCATTTAGCTTTGAAACCAAAGTATACTCGAGACAAACATTAACCAGGTAGTTCAGGTAATGTAAACTAGAAACGCTTTACGACAAATGATACTAGGTTAAGAGAATGCCACTCCGAGCAAAAATAAAAGTCGCAAAACGCTGTCCCTGCAGTTTGAGATAATTAGAGGGACGAAAACGTACCACAATGAATTCATTGAGGGTTTCGTTGATAAATTCTCTCGGAGGAATAAGAGGGTGACGACAGTCGTTCGGAGAAATGCCCAAAATAGCGCCCAACGGATCCTTGCGTGAAACCGGTCTTTCTGTCTAAAATTATAAATTAGAATAAGCAACCATGCTTTAATCAGCCGGCCTTTGCGGCCAGTTCATAACATTTATATCGGGAACTCGATAAAAGTTAAAATATAGCCACCAATTCAATTAATTAGGACGTCTTCCAAAGAATCACTCAGGAGCCTCGCATGATGAAGGGTGGGAAGAGTGAGGACTAAAATAGCCGAGCGGCGGGTCACACAAATGCAATAAAAGATAGTGCAAATTAGCAGGCAAAAGCAAGGATCAACCAACACGAAAAGAGGAAGAGGGAAGGGAAACAGAACCCTCTCCCTGAATGTCCTCCAAATCCAAAGCCTCCCGGGCGAGTTGTTCAGGGGAATCACAGCCTCCTGCCAAAAGGGAAGCGTAGAAGACGATGCGAATGACGCGAGCAGTGTCACAGATGACACGATCGTCGTTGGGTGAAGGTACATCCTCAAGATCGCTGGCAGTAAAGGTGGGAGATGGCTCGAGAGCAAGACATCGTAGAGTGATCTGCTGCATGAGAATACGATGCAAATCAAGCAGCCAGTAGGTCACTGTCGCCTCAGTTTTAGTTGTAGAGCACTGAGATAATGCATGCTCCGCCCAGGCGCGACAGAGACGTGCTTGTGTTACCATTGGGAGAGACACAGTCAGGTGACAGAGATGAGGCAAAATTGGCTAAAACGAGATCATTCGCAATCCATCGGGCCTAACTGTAAAATATGAGCTACTGTGGCAATTGATATTATCTATCAGCAAATATTTAAGGAACCCAGCACCATTTGCAAGTCATATGCTGAATAACTTGGCGAGAGCACTCTAGACTTAATTATTTGTTGAAAATCGGATAGGTTGAATGGCAAAATATGAGGCTTCATGATGATGGCAATTTCAACTCTACAAATACAGACAGTTGGGGCAAATAGACTCAGCATTGCCAGATGAAGGATTGTTGAGACCAGTATGGCCATATAGCAAAGGTCTGCCGTACACTAAACTTTCATCGAGGAACGCAATAATTGAAAATAACATTAAAAGGATATAAAACGATATGGGATGAGGTCGCAGGATCAGTACGGTATGGAGAAGGTACAAACCTCAAAATGGAGAGGGTCAGTGACAAGTGGGCAGGCATAAATGGTAGCGAAGAGGTTCACCATTCGCTGCTGCAATTTGTCCGCCTCCCCACCAGGAGGGGGATTCAACTCTCCTAACAGAGCGAGATAGGGATCCGTGTTAGCACCGGAAGATGGAAAGGGATAGATGCGAAAGCTTCTGCGCAAGGTAACAATCAATTGCCTTCGAATGAGGTGGGCGAGTGTGCCGTCAAAACCTAAGGTCTTTGGAGGTCGATCAAGAAGGAGCCTGTAGGCCTCACGAGCCTCGTCTATGTCTACTGGTACAGCAGGATCGGATTCACCGTTGAGAAAGGGTGAAAAGGCATTCGAATCCGACCCAGGCTTGAGCCTACGAGCACGAGCTGATTCTGCGACTGAAACTGATAGGAAAGAATTGGGTCTCAGCGACAGCTATTATTAACAAAAAACGGTTATTTCTTTGACGAGTTTCATACGCGAAACGCACTAGACTTTAAATGAAATCCAATTTTCCGGTGTGGTTGGACACTGGAGAAGTGTAGTAGTGTAGTAGTGAACACAGAAACTGATAGAGATGAATTTTGGCAAACAATAATGACATACGACCTGATTTGTAATGAGGTAAAAATGAGCTGTCTGGTGATAATGGCACCATCTCCACATCGGCGGATTTGCTTTCTCGAGGGAAGGAATTGGCGAGGGCGGTTAGAGATGTAAAAACCTCCTCAAGCAGCAGTCTGATAGGAGTCCAATTGCCCTCCGATTCGCAGTTCTCCACACATTCCCGTACCTCAGACAGCCTGAGACCTTTCACACGCTTTTTTATGATACTGGTTGCTGAAGGTAAATCAGCGTCTTCCTCGCCGTCGTCAGGTTTGTGATTGGATCTCTTCATGATGCTGTCCAACAATCCGAGGAAGTAGCTGTGCTGAGACGAATCTGCACTGTCACTACTTCCCATTGCCGCAGTTGTCACTGAGTTATTAAAGGAAAAAGTTTTAAGCATTGAAAAACTGCAGTTAGTGTTTTGGCAATGTTTTAATGCTCGTTAAATATGGTGAGAATGCAAGTGAAAAACCAGATGAGCCTACAAGTGGATAAATGAATTTAGAGAATTTAGAAGAATTTAGAGAAGCATTAAGAAAACGATACAGATTAACCAATGCGAGCCAAACGGAAGTAAATGAGCATCGGAGTACTAAATCCGCGAAGACATGCACAATGGAAAAGTATACTTTGAATCGCAAAAACAGCTGAAATGGAAACATTTTCATCCAACAATCAAGACGACCTTAATGAATTTGAAAATTTTGGAAAGGTGAAGTCCTGAGGGTACTTTAAAAAATTCAATAGCGAGGATAAAATCGTGTAGGAAAACAAATCTTCTCTACTAAACCAAGGCAATCAAATAAAGGAATTCCGATGTCCACAAACTAAAAGTTTGCGAGAGAAATGCCAGCAAACCAAATCAACACGATTGAAATAGGCGCGAGGAACCTCGGAGTACCAATCCTACATAGTAGTCCACGAATAAGTGAAGAACAAATTAAAAGTAGAGAAACTATAGCCCAAAACTACGCACCACTCTCGAGAAATGGAACTTCTGTGGAAGCAGGTGGCGAACTACCAGAAATGTGAAGAAGGAAACGACTCAGACTGGGGGAAATTTCACTAATGGAGGAGGTGGGTGTGGAACCCTCCAAGGCATCCTGCATACCCCCATCGGTTTCCCTTCCTTCGGAATTCTCACCTTCCATTTTTTCCTGATCCTGGCGGAGGGAAGAACCAGATGTTGGAGGCAAATGCTCCGACATCTGAGCGTTCTCTGAGTTTATCATCAAAGTTTCACGCTGGTCTGGTTGATGCTAAGTATGAAAACAATGAAATGAGTCCAAGAACTTGAGACTCACGAAGGACGAAGGCATGCATAGTGGGAATAAAGGTAAAACCAAATCGACTGTGGCGTTTAGATGACCAAAGGAAGAAAAATAAAACAGTTTAAACAGTAAATGTTGCACTAAAAAGGAGCTGAAAAATTATTCAGAAGCTAAGCTCCAGTTAGGTTGATATAAGGTCACCGAGCGTACCTTGGTTGAGTTAAAAATCCTGACACAAATAACAATGACAACGCACATGGGAGGAATCAACGCCTCCAGATTTTGGAGTTGAGTCCTTCCGATGCTCTGTAGAATCCATTGGAGCCGAAGGATGAGCAAAACACATGGGTTCGGAATCTCTAAGAAGCCTGAGTGCCAAGGCAGCAGCATGGTTATTATCAAGTCCACGGTGAGCGAAGTTGGGGGAGGAAGCACAATTCTGATTTGTGCATGCAGAATCTCCACAACCGACAGTCAGTTGGTTAAAATAATAATGGATACGCTCTTGAATCACAGCCTGGTGATTAGACTCTTCCCTTTCAAAAGAATAATGAGAATAAAAACATTCAATGACAAGACCAAAAAGGGGTAAATCAGCCATTCCGTACCGGAGGAAACGCATACATTAGACTAAATAAATGCACAAATGGGCAGAAAGATACGCGAAGCACTGGAGACAAATCGGAATTTGCGAACTGTGTAGAACCTTATAACAGATAGGTTTAAAAAGAAAAATTCCGTTAGCAGAAACTCTAAACAACTTCAGTACTTACATTTCACTACATAGAGGTGCCCTAATATCAATAATTGCTAAAACGGATCCCAGTTGAGATCCCACAACACCAATAACTCCACGATTGGTCGAATTGAACGTTTTGAAAGAAGAAAGAATTACGTTCAGCTCAACGAAACATGTATTTAAAAGCATGAAAATATAACATACGGTTTAAGTGAATCGAAATAGCCTTAATTTAGTTCTAAAACAAAGCAAGCTTTTCAAAACTACTTGAGGAAATCTCGTTCTAAAATACAAAGAAATGGCAAGGCATTCGTACCTGCAAAAATATAGTTGCATCTATTTTAACAAATTAATTTATTTTATATTGCAAATAAATAGCAATTTTAATGCAAATTATGGGCACTTACATTAACAGAATGTAAAGTAGATCCTGCATGAAGGCTTCAATTGATGAATGACTGCTTGTGCTCGACACATGTTTGCAGATCTTATCCGCTTCGAATAATATTTATAGCAGGAATTCGCCACTGCGAGCGGATCGCGAATACCCTGCCTGAAAAGTAGCTCCGATATTCTAGGCGCACCTCCATTGCTACGTAGCAATACCGCATATAAATTTGTCGAATTATCCTTCTAAGAATCTAGGATTATAGTAAGAATAGAGTGGGGAAGAAAGTGATAAAGTGCTGGTATAATACACAACTTATGTTTTTTTAATACTAACAAGTTACTTTGGTGTTTGTCAAGCTCTTGTAGGCTTTGGATGTCATTCGGTCCAAATCAAATCCTGTTTCTATTTGAAGCAAGGTCTCAAGGGTGTAGCTAATGTAACTCTTGAGCACTAAGCACTTGGTGGTGTCTTACTTGTAGCGTTTTGAGTAAACCCACTAGGAAGGAAAAAACATTGGGATAGGCTATTTGCATGTACTGTAAAGGAAAAATGGATTGAAGTGCATTGCTTTGCTTATGCGAACATCTGATGTCTGGCGGTCACTCTATAATTCGCTTGACCTTAGTAAGCATGTGCTGGCCTTCGAGCCATGCTTGGGCCTAATTATTTTGTTCTCTTTGGATTACACGTTTAAGCTCCATTTCTTTAACCCATTAGGAAGTCTCAGGAGCTACACGAAGTTTGGCATGGCCCGAGGGTCAGGTTTCGAGTCTATGGATAAAACGAAAAACCAACGTAGTCACCAGACTTTAAGTGACCGGATAAAAAGCTTTGGAGAACTTCTAGCAATGTGTACATATATGGCCGTTGTAGAACCTACCTTTATTAGCAGAACGAACGAAATGAGGGAGAGAATTGATGAGGCAGAACGCTGATGTCAACCTGAGAACGTTTGTTTCTACTAGTTACAAAATAGACTCGTTTAGAATTGCTCTTCTACCTCTCTTCTATAGAGGCAATCTTAAACATTGGTATGTATTACATCCGTGGCCATGGATTATTTTTGCATTCAGAGAATTTCCTTAAGGCTGCTATCAGTGTTGCTGGTTTGCCTGACGAAGCGTCAGCGCACCTAATCACAAAATATCTTAGCATGGATTAGAAAAGTTAATCTTAAATTATCTTTAAAAAAGCTTTAAAACTACTAATTTGCCTTAACAGCGAAATTGCATTCAACCAACTGACATCTAAAACCTTCAAGCTAAGGGTATTTTCAAAACTTGCTCCCAGTCTGACTTAGACTCGTTAATTTCTGTTGTCGAGATAAACATCGATTGTTTGGAACATCCTATGGACACCCGCATTAAGCGAACTTTGAAGTCTGAGTTGCGTTGAAAGAGGGTCTTTCGCACGATTGCTGCGCAATGGTCGATTGCCTCCGTGAAGAATTGAACTCCGGCAGAGATGAGTGTTTTTCAAAGGTCATAAATTATTTGGAGGAAAGAAGTCGTGCTTACTTTGAAAAATTGGTAGACGCATTTGGGTCTGTTGAATGTCTACAAAAATTTCGAAAATGCTATGAAACTTCAGATCCTTTATGTGAGGTTACCTCAACTGATAGTCCTTGTACGTTATGAAAGACAAGTTGCCACTTGATGGGTTTGCTCTCTTTTTCAATTTACATTACACTGTGTTGATTTGCGCTCCTGCACTGTTTAGTTTCGGCCTTGCGTTTTGATACCCAGATTATCTGATATCAAACTTGTGGTAATTTCTCTTATTTTAGTATACGAACATTTGTGTGTGATTCTTGAGTGGCGTGCCTTGTTAGCCACAGAAGTAGAAGCCTTACAGTCTATACGGGAGGAGATTGAAGATTACCCGAAGGATTTTGAAATTCAGATAAGGTTAAGCGAGTCGCTTCATGAGCAGAATCGATTACGGAGAGAACTTGAATCCCTCAGGGATCAAAGTATCTATATACTACGTTAATTTTTGGTGTTTTCTACATTGACAACTGTTTGTGCTGCTATATGCATCAATCGGTTGTTTCGGCTACGGCATGCTCTTTGTTTTTTTTATTTTAGATGAGAGGTTGCAAATGGAGAACAATGCATATAATGCGATAATGGAGGAAGTAAAGAAGGACTTCAATGAAAAACTTTCTGAAGCTAACGAGCGAGCAAAAAAAGCCGAAAAAGCCTTTATAGATTTGACAAGACGGCGATCCACCATTCCAATTTCGGATGCTTCCATAGTCGCTACGTCGACGGATAAATCAAATTTAGCAGTTCAAAAACGACTCTCTGGGTCGGTGCTGAATGCCGTAACATCCGTCGCGCTTCCGTATAAGTCATCAGTGGATAAAGTTCGTGTAGGTTATTCTCCTGATTGTCTTAATCTTATCGACATATTCCTTTGGTCATGCAGATATGGTACTGTACCTCTCTGTTTGCAAATTTTGAGGATAACCTGAAATGCTGGTTTTGGATAGGCTGAATTAACGATGCCTTTTGAGTCACTAGGGTGACTAATGTTTCCTCAAATGATGATAGTACTGGAGGCAGGTCTAACTTTGGGGCTACTTGGATGACTGCAGTCGCTGAGACATGTAGTCTGGCTAGTTTGAATTTCGTGGTTTTAATGTTTCATTATCGTAATCGGGTGTGGGCGCACCTCCGCGGGATGACTAATCGGTCAACGCCCAGCATATAATGTTGCTATTCTATTATAGACCTGTTGCTCATTTGTTTAGCTACCAATGCTTGTCTCTGATGCACTGGACTTCATGATTTGAAATATGCTGTTAGTTTTTTCAGGTTAAGGAGCTTAGAACTATGCTGAGCTTCGAGTTTGGCAAGAATATTCCCATTTCCATTTCAAATTCGAAAGATTATGTCAACGGATTATGATAAAGGATGTTTAAATTTGTGATCTACATTTATGATTAGTTTGCCTTTTATAATGTTAGTTGTGGATCATGTTTGTATATTTGCTTGTATTTACTTTCATTGCGATTGGTCTTTTGTGATACCCTTTCAGAGTAGCTCTCTGCGTTTCAAGGAGTATAGTACACTTACCGCGTGGGAAGACTTTGACTCCTTAGATGAGGGCTCGGGAGATGAAAATGAGGTGAAGAGGGAAGACCCAATGCCGCCGAAGTCGGCAAAGTTGGAACCTCAGTCGTCCGTTTCACCTCCTGCACATAATGTCGTTACAAAACTCCCATCGTTTGACGCAAGTCCCATTAAACCTTCTAGTAGGTGGTTAATGCATTTTTTTTCAGTCTCCACTAACAATATCAATAGGATTTAGTTATTACACAACTGCGCCGTTTGGGTTGTAGGTGCCGTCTATATGAGCTACCTATTAATTTTTTTTATTGCTTATGCGTCAAATTTTGACATTGTTATGGAAATGGTGTATGGTACTGTGCAGTGGTAACTATTCTGGTGCAACATTTTCTTTGGTTGCTTATTATTAATTCAAACATAATGGAAAGTTAAACCAATCTAGTTTTATCAGCATGAATAATTTTTTTGGCGCTCTTACCTTTTACCTAAGTCGTAATGCTAGATTAGCCATTATCCTGTGCCAAAGGTTTGTGTTTCTCGATCGTACTTTGTTTTACCTGCTCCTGTCGCGTCCCGTAAATGTTGTTTAACTTTTCAGGATCTAACGATTCGCTGGGGGGAACAATTGAACTCCCCGTTGAAGGTGTGAGCGCATCCTTAAGTAGTACTCCCAGAAAGTCATTGCCCTCAACCTTGACGACCCCGCGTCAGACGTGCGCTTCCCCACCCGACCTGACCTGTCCGTCCGACAGGGGCTCTGTGACGCCGCACTCCCGTGCTGTTACACACAGCGATGGCAGTGACGTCGTAGACAGAGCGGCCTACCTTCAGCTCTATGATGAGGTGGTAGAATTGCGTTCTGAGCTAGAAAAGGTTCGCCCCAAGCTTCCTACCTCTCAGGTTTCAGTTACGCCAACGTGAGTTGCCTATTTTTACTAGTTATGGAGTAGGTTAGGTTCTCCATGTCACAGAGGATTTTCCCACTATGGGAGTTCCATTCTGAAACGAATTCATTTAAGTTAGTTTTCATTTTCTGACTTGGGTCATGACGTTCGGCTTGTGTTAAATGACTGATTGTTTTTGCTCCCACTTTGTCAAATTAACTCGCGTTTGATTGCTTTAAAGATGAGTTTCTCTTTTGAAATGTGCATTTCCGTCGACTTACTATGCAACTGCATCTGAATTATTGATAAGTTTGGCCATATTTAATGCTTTTTTTCGTCGGAAGAGTCGAGATTATGCCCTTTTGCATCTGAAAAGAGTAAATATTGCTTTCGTACACAGGACCTCTAGTAGCAACAATCACAGACTTGGTCCCGTTGGCTGCAAGTTTATTGTGCATTGGTTGACCTGAATAGGTTCGAACCGTTGAGGTTTCCACATCTTCGTCATTTCTGATGCTTCTTTGGGGCTCCATGTGCGTTGTTGACCTTGTCTATGAGGGGTTGCTTGTTTTAGTCCCCCGCCTCTACTCTGACTGCGGTCATTAGTCTAAACGGTTTTGTTTGCGTGTGAGAAAGATCGAAATTGCATAGCCAACGCCTACATTAATGTGTGCAAATCCATGCAATTATGTTTGCTTCAGGCAAAGCGACTGACAGTGACAAAGAAGGCAATTCATTGGGATTTCTTACAACTTTGGGAATCATTTTTTTCCCAACAGTCACATTGTACATTACTATCATCTCCACGCTTGTGGTCTGAGCACAAGTCAATCTGAGAGCTCTTAATCCTTGGGGCATTTTCACGTTGGAAGCATTCCTCTTTACCACATTTCTAATACTTCTTTCGCGAACAGAAGTCTCCTTCCTGAAAGCTCGCTTTGCGTTTTGCCACTTAGGTGCTCTTGCTTCTTGTTGGGAATTTTATTTTTAGTTATTAGGAGTAGTTATGTTTTCCCTCCTGTCTCCCACGGAAAATCAACCTATGTCTAGAGGTCGGCTTAGATCTTAGCAACATTGGACGCTGAATCGCGCTTCAGTTAATCCTTTGATTAGGGTTAATGAATTAAGCTCACTTTTTCTGAGGCTGTGGATTTGATACAATCGCGAAACTGTAAGGTGATTGATTTTTTTTTATACTTTGAATAAATGTGAGGCTTTCGAAATCGCAACATATCGTAACTTATTTATTTTGTAGGCAATCGAATGATTTGGGTCTAACAACGCAGCTATGTGAGCTTCGTGACCAGGTATTTTTAACACCACTTGGTGCTGTTTTGCTTCACATTTCCAGATATTACAGTTTGGAATGCATGAATTGGGTCAAAAGTAGTAGCTTAATCCCTTTGTGAGTGCTTCTTCTGGGTTTTTTAGGAGGCTTTCGCGTCCCTATCCACGTTTGTCACCAAGTAGTCATGACAGGCCCCAGGTGGTGCCCTTGTCTACCCAATTTTCACGTGCTTTTCCTTGAATACCCATTGCCTGAGTTGATATTCCTTTTCACTTGGACTTGCACGAGTAGTAATGTTGTGAAAGTATTTATCATTAGCTCGCAAAGTGAAACTTTAAATTTTTAGGTTTATCAATCCTCAGTTGGAGAAGTCAGCTTCGCATCGCCAGCGCAAGTTGTCGTTAGCAGCGTTCCCAACCCTATTCCTTTGTCCGAGAACAAGCACTTCACTGACTGGTCTATCTCCCTCGATCAGACCAATGCCTCGTGTGTCCAAACGGAGCCTGAGAGGGTTTGCGGACCTGATGAACTCGAAGAGGGGTGTATGCGCACACCTCGAGCGTCTATGGTTGGTTCTTCCTTTTTTCGCTTTGACTATTTCTTCTTGGTTGCCTAGAGCCGTGATTGAAATGTCATTCAAGTGACTTTCACTCAACTCATGGTTCGGATGGGTAGAGGAGATTTAGGAGACAGCAGGTGATGGAGTGTGGGTGAATTACCACGTGCTTAGCTAATCACATGCATTGTTTCGAGTTGTGCTGAAGACCAATATTATCGATGTGACTCATCTGAAGGTGAAGAAATCAAATCTTCATGGTGCGCTTCTATCTGCTGTCGCTTAGTTGCATCGCGATTAAAGAGAATTGCGTTAACCCTGTCAATCAGCAAAGTTGCAATTTGTCAGTTTTTTCCCACCATTTAAATGTATGACCACTTGATTTCAAGTAGCAGCCATGTTTTGTATTGCTTTGAAATATTAGTCTCCTTTTAGAGTTATATTTTTCCGTTTCGCCTCTATTTTTAGCTGTGAAAAACTGTTGTATCTATTATCGACTCGTGTGGAACCTCCTAATTGTCGTTCTCCCTGTTCTAGCTAGCCACTACTGCAAAATGGTCAGTAAAGCCGCCGCAGTGTTGACATGGTTATTTGATGTTTTTGCGATCTCTGGCACCTTCCGATGACCAATAGATGTTGAAAGTAATTTATTCTGCCGAAATGGATAGTAAATCACTGGCCTTTTTCACTTGTTTAGTGAAAGTCCATGTTTCTAGTTGTTAATGTTATTCCGCGTATGCAAACAGTTTGTGCAGTCTCTACACTGAGATTCCGGGCTTTTTAATCTTCATGCATGCATTTGCGTTTGCTGTGATCATTGCTTGGTCAATGTTGACTTAGTGTCTGGTGGTGGATGTTTCGGACAGTGAAGCGAAGGTGGTTCGCATTCCTACTCACCATCGATCGGATTATCGCATAATCTCGGCGCAAGCCACCATATCCATGCTTGAACACGGCACAACTATTAGCCTCCGAGTTGAAGAGGAGGAAAAGAAAGTAAATGAAAATGGTGACAGATGCGACGAATCACTTACTGACTGTGTCACCTCTCCTTCCGACATTTCGATCTCTGGGTCGTTTATGCCGCAGATGGAGGATGTTTGCACCGCCGTGAGCCCTGCTGTGCGCGTTCGCCGTTTTATACTGTTAACAGTTCCCTTTTCGAGGTTTACCTTGTTCCTACTGCGCATAGTCTGTTTCATTCTCATGTTTGTTATTGTTTGCTTGCCGTTGGTCGTTCTGTTGCGTTTTCTGCTTTACTGTCCGACCTTGTGTGAACAGCATAAAGTACACGTACGAGTACTTCCACCGGTGGTAATGCTTCAATTCGTTTCAAGTTTGTAGTAATTCACGTCTCTTTATAGGTATAGTTGGCGTTGACATCTCCTACGAAGAAATGCCATAGGTAACACGGACCGTATTCTACGTGTCATTTTTAAGACTGTCAACTCCTCTCATTGTTCTCAAAGGTCAACACCAGCGGCGGTTCTTTTCACATCACCGTCGGCTATGATAAAGCATATTGTCACCCATTACAAGGTTGTTCAAAAGCAATTTCCTTGTTTTAGTCGGTTGGTCAGCAGACAGAGATGCCCTTCTGCTGTTTCAATTGCTCAGTGGACTCCACCAATGTGCACTCTAGCCTTGTTCCCCTTCCAGAGGTAAGCTGATTATATTCATGAAACAGTATGCTGGAAACAGCTTGGTCTTCGTTAAAATTATAAAACTTGGAAACTTGCAGTTCTCTAATGTGTTTCGTTGATGCTATTTGAGGTATTGAGATTAGTGTCCATATTTTTCAAACTTACCAAAGCTTAAGCAAAAACCTCTTAGATAAACCCATCTGGAATCGGGGAAAATGTGTTTTCTCCGGCATCTACCTTGCAAGAATTAAATGTGGATTTCTCTGATTCTACTGCAAGACAAGGTAAGCCCTTGGATTTGGAATATACTAGGTGCAACACTGCGAGTATTATTTTTATGAACTAATACTAGTAATTAAGATGCCTTTAACTCTGATTATTTGCCGCCGACTGCTCAAGTGAGCTTGTATTTAGGCTGCGGGACCGTTTCAGCAACAATTGATGTTCCCTTTCCCTTTCGCATGCACATATTTACTATCATGCAATGGTAATTCAGCCTACGTATTTCATTTTGGTTATACAATACTTATCTATTTGCCATTGCTACACTATCCGAATGGACATCGAAAGATTTGCGCCGTTTTAGGTCCTCCTCCAGATCAAGCCAATCATGTCCGCCCCCCAAATCTCGATCATGGTACAAAGGTAACCTTTAGTTTTCCTTATAGTATTTTTACTGTTCTTTGTTTTGTAAAATATGCATAAATTAATTTTCACCATATCTAGTGATCGTTTATCCATCTTTGGGATCTTATTTGTCAGTTTAGGATGATTCGTTATGGGTCGCGAATATTTAACGGGGATCCCTTGTCAGTTTATCTTAACACAATCCCTGGGATCAGGTCGCTATTCTCTTGAGGGTGTCATGGGTACTCGTAATTTTTAATTGCCTGCTAATGTGGCTTCTGGAGGGTACCTGGGAATCTTATTGGGTAATGTTTGCTCTTCGGGTCGGAAATGTCAGCGGTGATTGAGGCATTTCACCCTCATGTTAGCGTCGTAATTTTGTTTGAAATAATCAGTTATGGTACTCCAAATTAATATCAGTGGGCTGAACTGCAAATCATGTAACATTGGTTACCCTGCCTTGTAATTAATTTATGCTAACTTCCTGATTAACATCTGGAGTTTTCGCTTAGTCCTTACGAAGGGATTTAGCTTACATGCCCCAGTAATTAATTGACTTTCCGCTTATTATTTGATTTCAGACGGATGCCTCCTTCGAGTGCCACCTTCCAGCTACCGAATCGTATGTTACTTTCTACTTAGCCATACAGGTTGCGCATGCAAAATTCGTCATATCTTCCTTTGTTTTATTCTAGACCTAAAGATCAGAAATCCCTTTCGTCAGACTCCATAGCTGCTGCTGCCCAGGTCTGCATGGGTTTACATGAACGGATTTCTGGCGTTTTGTGCGGTATAGATTCCGAACCCGGTCCCGGTACAAATGGCCTACTTATCCATTTAAGTAGGTAAATTACATCAGCAATCATGCTGGATTTTTTCACATTTTAGCTACCAAGTCCAATGCTTGTGAAAATCAAACTGATCTCACGCGTAAGTACCAACATTTTGTTTCCATTTGAACGGCGCTTTTTCAGTTTCATAGTGCAACGTTTTTTGCTCTCATTTCAGCTATCATACAAAAACTCAGTGCGGATGTTGAGCGAATTTCTACGGCATTTGTTGAACTAAAAGAGAAAAATGGTAATGATAGTTTAAGTCAATTGAGTGTAATTGCATTAGGTGAAACTCGGAATCATTGCCCGCTTACTAAATCCATAAACACCTTAGTTGCACTTTACTCCATTGGAAAAACGTCACAGTGGCTACTGGTACATTGACTTTCATTAGTCTGCTGACTAGCCTCGTTAATTTTGAGCACATCTAGGCGTGCGCAATATTCGACGGGAATGTTGTTCGTGTCATCCCTTTAGGGGGTACTGCCGTCCTGATTACTTGTATTACTATTCAGAGTTATGTTGCTGAGATGTCAGGCTGCCCGATGCTGCTCGGCGTTTTTTGCCTGGAAATCGTGCTTAATGTGTGCTAATTTTAATTTATCCGAAATCCAGGCAACCAAGTTGAAAGCGACTATGATAGCTGCGCATGTGCCTTTTAGTGCTATTAAGAGATTGGTTTGCTTAGTATATACAAATTCGTTTCTCAGACGGAAATTTTCCACTTTCTAAGGGGATGTGTGGCGACAGCTATGGGTCATTTCGATTGCAATATATTATTTGTTTTAATCCTTGTTCATATGGGTGTACAAAAAATTATCACGCGAACCCGCACCGCTATTCTGCCCATATGTTAAGGTAGTTTATTTTGGTCTTAGATTCTCAGCCCTCCTATGAAGTGGAGATTATCAGGTTGAGGGAGAAGCTAGAGGAGGCTGAGCGACAATTGGAAGAGAGGCTGCCAAGTGATTCATGCGTTGGTAAATTTCCTCCTACTTTTTTCTTGGGGATCTTTATTTGCTTTTTCCATTAATTTTTTTTCCCTTCTCATTGATTTCTTTTAATCGACTATTTTTCCTCGGCCATCGCTGACTAATCGTTCAATGTATTCCGTTTTACTTTATAAGCTCAAGAAGTATCTTAAGTAGTCGTTTTAACACAGCTTTCCTAACTCAGTATTTTCACGCTGAGCTGCTTTTTCTTTTGAGCATGCCCTCGATCTGCATCACAGAACTCAATTTTTTGCTATGATAAATCGTAAAAAAATGTGAAACCTCCAACATTTGCTACATTATGCAAAGTACGACAGCACATACCTGCGTTTCAAAATTCTTGGCGAAATCTTGCGGCATGCCTTCTGTCTACACCTAAAATGTGTTTGTATGAGCCTTTTTAAAGATGAGTTTTTATTACATTAGGCGGGAATAGATGAACCAAGTTGGCTCCCGACTAGTCGTTGGGTCCTTTCCAGGAAGATGTTGTCAATTCTCCACCAAAACGATGCATATGGTTGACTGACCGAAGAAGATTGGAACAGTCGATAATTTTAATCTAAATTTCATGACCCGTTAATTTTTTTTTGTTGCACTTATTTTGCTAAAAGCATACACTTCTGGAATGTGGTGAACATGTGGGGCCCTGGTTGACGGCTCCGACCTACTACCCAAAGTAGAACTTTTGTGCTATACAATACATTTATACTTACTCTGCCTTGCTTTTGTAGCGGCAATGTGCATCAATGAGGTGCTGGAGGCAGAGCGCAAGCAGTTGCAACGGGAGCTGAATCAGCGCTTAGCGGACTGCGGTAGCACTCATGCTACCTCTGTAGCCGAGTTGGAGCAGGTGCAGGCCGACCTCTCCGCTCGACTCTCTTCCTCCGAAGTTCGAGCCAGCAACCTTGAAAACGAGCGCAATGCTGTTATGCAAAAACTCAACGCTACTGTGAGTCATCGTCACTGTCACCAACTCACACCACAAATGTCATTGTCTCAATTTTATATTGCCAAATATTGTTAACATACTTCCCTCCCATGTGGATGAGGTTATATTCGTGCCACTGTTCAACATTTTTGATGGAACGTATTTTACCAAATTCGGCATCGGTTTACATCACGTTTGGGTAGGGATAGCTGTGGTTTAGAAGTATGATTGAATAATTTCGCATTGGGTTATATCAAATTTTAGGAGCGTTTTCTTAATGAGCAACTCCAAGAACGGGAGCAAGAGCGCGAAGAATTTCAGGCCGAGGTTGCCGCTCTTCGAGTTGAAGTAGCTGCTCTCAGGTTAGCCTTGTGTAAATTTATCTGTTTACCATTATCCTCCTTACAGACATTCTCCTAATGTTTTCGATGGTGCTCTTATTATTCTTCAATCCATACTTTGAGATCGCTGTTATTTGCCATCAGTCTCCAAGCCTCACTCACCGCAGTAGCCGTTTTCTGGCAAACCCTTCACAGGATGTGCTTTTTCTTAAAGCGTCATCTTGCTGGTATGTTGCTGTTGGAATCGAAAAACAGAATTTACATATCTGCCTCGTTGTGTACAGTTGATGTGCCATATATGCTGATCGTTGCATTAAATACCTGAACGTGTCATCTTTCTATTATCCTACGTGGCACACTGGACTGAATCTTGGTCAGTTAATTAAATCGCACATGATGTGCGTACTCTATGAGGTGTATCTTCACATACTTTCGGTTTAGCTCCAAGTCATTGAATGTAGCTCAGGTAACGATCGAAGAGTTTTCAAGTATTATCCTATTAGCTGTGCACTTCCGTTTCCTGAAATGGCATTCATCAAATTTTAGACCATTTTGCCAATGATAATTTTATCGCTCATGACTTCCAATACTCTGTTATACTTACGGAGCGGAGGCCTATCTTCCTCCAGGACCAAGTTGGCATCATTGGAGAGACGGCAGTTGCGGGAGTCCTCGTCGGCATCATCGTCCTTAACTCATACCCCCGCCGTCAGTCCTAGGAAGACGAAGGCTGGGCAAGGTGGGGCGCAGCAATTGACTACTTCCATGCCCGCCACACAGCGTCCTTGCACTCTCACTCCCTCCCTCCTCTCCATGCCCGACTCCTCTGATCACAGCGATGTTGACGACTCGCCTGCCTTTGAACTCGCTCCTACTCCTCAAAGCATGGTGGAGCACTTTTCGGATTTGTCTACTCTACACAGGCATGAATGGGTAGGTTGTATACCACTTCGTGTTCGATTTTGAAGTTTCACCATTCCTCCCTCTTTTGACCTCGCCAATTCTGTATTTGGCAGTTTTCGGAAGACTGTCATTTCAGATATTGCATCGCGTAGTAGCACCTGGTTGAGGTAGTGGAGCTGATACTACTTTTATCAACGTTCTTAATTTGTGGTGTTTAAACCACATCATGGTAAACTTATAGACTGTTGTCCGATTTCAATGCGCAATTTTGCTGTAGTTCTAAAGAATGTGGTAGCTAGTTAATTGCTCGGTATCCTTGCCGATAGCACTTTTGTCACTTCCTTGTTCCCCTGGTGTAACGTTTTCACTAAGTTTACAAGCTTTGCATTATCTACACTTGAATTTTTCCGGACGAATGAAATTGACGTGTTGGTTCGCCAAGTAGTCTTTAGATTAGGCATATAGAACAGTCTAAGTAGTTTCATCCAGACATTGACATCGCTGCTAAGTCCCCTTAATTACGCCCTTGGTCTGGCGGTCATCTCCTTTGAAGTCAAAATGAAACCGAGTGCTTAATTCTCCAACGCGCCTCCTTCGTGCTCACACACACATGTGGATTCATTCTAAACAATTGATTGGTTCGTTTGTAGCAACTCGTTGGGACTGCGTAGCTTGTTATGCGTGCATGTGTGCCGAGGCACATTACTGCTTCATTTTACTGCGCATGAAGCCTAGCTCCGTTGCTACCCCTGTTCCTGCTGCCGTCTCTACTCCTTGCCTAGCAGACTGTCTTGGTGGGCCATTTGCAGAAGACCATCTATCCAGATGCACTCCCTCATCCCCACCCCATCGCGTCCGCTTTGACACCTTTGAGTCGAGCTGGAGCGAAGATAGTGATTATTACTCTCCCAGTGAGTGTGAATACTTCAGGCAGCTCATGGCAGTTTGCCGGTTAGATGCTCTTGAGATTGAATTGCGCAAGATTGCTAATTTGCGGTCGGAGATCGTTCGATCCGAGCTGACATTGTGCGGGGTATGTCGCATGGACCGTCGGTATATTCGCACACTTTCAGGCCAATATTTCAAGCATTCACAGTATCTTTTGGAATCGTATAAATCCGCATTTTGTGTCGAGAACGGTTTGACTATTAGTCTTAAATTAATTCGAAATTTCCAAGTCGAGCAATGGTTACATTGCTAGCTTTTGGTGCACACTGGTGTCTTTTTTTTCAATTTTTTACGCGTTCATTTAGAGTCCTGCATTAGTCGGGACTAAAACTGTAGTCGTTTAGTTTGTATTTGGTGGGTGACGCTAGATTTTTGCTGGTTAAATATAATGTAACTGACTTTTCCACAGTGTTTGCAGTATCGGTAGGTTGCATGTGATCGTGGTCTTCATGAGCTTGATAGACTTCAACAGTGTTGATGTCTTATTCCTCACCTAGAGTCGGCCTTACAGCGCAGGTGATGCAGCTTTGCGTCAGCAGACTCGACCACCCGTGAAACTTGTTACTACTTGTGTGGGAGGGTCTCCTATCGAACTCGTTGATGCTTCGATCTCAGTTCAGACCTCAATCTCTGGTAACTCTAGCACTTCCACAGAATTCGATGGTGAGGAAGATAACGATCTCCCCTCCATGGAGGGTGAGGTGGATGATGTGCAAACAACAACAACCACGGCGGCTGCCATGGGTGTCGTTACTACAACCGTAACGACGACTACCAAAAAGCGAGCTAATAAGAACGTCGTTCCAAAACACCGAGGTCGCTCCTCTCGGCACTGCGTAATGAATTCACCAGGACTAACAAATAATGTCGGGTTGGATGTGGAAATGCGCCATGTTGCAGAGATGGAGGAATTGGTGAGTACTTTGTGTTCATTTCCTTAATCAACTCATTCGGCTTACTGACTTTACGGCCTTCCGTTTTAGCGTGAGGCCCTTATCCATGCTCAATTTGCCTTGGCTGAGAAGAGTTCGGAATTGGAGGCTCTGCAGAATCGGCAAAACTCTATTTTGCATTCTCCTACATCTGAAAAACAATTCCAAGTAAGGGTCTGCTCCCTGTTATAATTGCTTGAACTTTTGTGGCCAGTTTTGTGTCAACATCCTTATTCCTACTTTCCTTAGCTGTATTTATTTTTTTATGTTGTGAGTTTACTTTTCTTTACGCATCACACTTCCTTCAGTCTCCTTGCAAAATCAGCCCTTGTCTAAGTGCACATATCAAGCCCTTTCCTAACGTATCTCCTAATCCTAGGGCTTGCTGTTCATATAATACAGTAACTGTTAACTGTCACCACTTCGACCTAGACTCGACAGGTATCGGCGCGTGACTCGCGCGACTCCACTCTCTCACCACCACCCGTCGCAGACCGTTCCGCCGCCTCATCGAGCTCTTCCAATGCGGAGGTCTCCATCTCCACTCCGCCCAGCGGAGCCTCCTCTCAGACGGTCGATATTGACGCCCAAATAGCTGATGAAGAGGAGCTCTGCCAACCACCAGAACAAGTTGTAGGTTTTAAAAATAATAATTCCGATGCGTTTTGGTGCTGGTAAGATTCCTCCATCAAGCAGAAAATACTGTTCAGTAAGCCGTCTTCATGATAGGTAAAAGGTCTTTTGATAGCCTGGAGTTTTTATAGCCAACTTTTTGTATACCTTTATTTGTTTTGCCTGTGGCTGAGTGAGTTGGTTACTTTTACGCAGACTAGGTAGGTTTGATTTATTGATGAAGTGGAAGGAGTGTATTGAAGTCGAAGAGTCATGGTTTTCGTTTGCAAAGTTTGTGGTGTTAATGTGATGTGCTCAAATGATAGTCAATTCCTCCTTTATTGCAATTCATAAGGTGCACCGCTTGTTGTGATTTCAAGTCTAAATGTCTTGTCTTGCGAGGAAAGGAAGCATTTTCATAAGAATTGTTCAATAAAATAGTCCATCTGTTCGTGCCGGCTTCACACAAAGCTCATCGATCTACTATTTAACGAATGGAAATATTTTCCACAGAGAGGTTAGTTTTGTGCGCATTATCATTAGTCTCAAATTGGAGGGGTGTGTGGGCTGGTTGTGGCGCTGCATTTAATTCGTCTATTTTACCCTGTTTACGTCTGTATCTCGACTTGTTTCTGCATTCTGCAGCGACACTAAACGCTAAGCTTTGTCTTCCTCCAATTGAATTTTTTTTAAATGATGATTTGGAGAGTCAAAGTATCACACCAACGCTGCCTAATTCATTTGTGTGTAAAATTGCAAGCACTTTTCCGTGTTTGTCAAGATGCACCAGATGCGCATTTGTGTGTTCGCTCAAACAGCAATTTCGTGAAAATTTTCGCACTAGTTCTTTGCAAGTGATCACCACGCCTTGCCTTGTTATGATGTCTTGAATCGATGGCGACCTTTTCTGCGTTTGTTTATTCCTATTGCCTTAACTGACATTGCCATTTGACTCATCATATAGCCTTCAATTTGCCATTGTAAAAAGGCTTGAAACATATGGCGCTAACTGATCAAAATATTTGTGGTGCTTGCTATCTATGAGACGTAACTACTTTTTTCGTTCTAGTCGTCCAGTGAGAGTGACCATCTTGCGGCAGATCTAGAAGAGGCCAGAGCTGAAATTCAGGCCCTCAAAGCCGAAATAAATGGTCTCATCAATTACCAAGTAAGCATTGTTTTGGTGATTAACTCTTCTTTGCATTGGTTGCATTGGTTAGCCTATTTTAAAGGTGCTACTTGTAAAAACTGTTCCATTTTCATTTTGTTTTGGAGTTCCTTTGTGCACGGCCTCGCTTGCTTTGTTCTAACAAAGTTAGTGGTTCTCTTAGTCCACTCACTCAGGCTAGTGTTGAAAACGCTCTTCATCTCATCCTTCATTATTACTCTATGTCTTGTTTCATTGCTGGAATGCTCGACTCCTTAGAAGCTTTGTCGGTACTGTTGAATTCATTGAATACGTGAATGGAGCAAACCTTTGCTTCATTATACTTGATTTCGATGTGATAGACACGAACGTGGTTGGTTGTTTGTGTGGCGTAATTGTAACTGCTTGATTGAAGTTCTTTCATACAGCTTAGCCACATCCTCTCACCTACAAGCTTGCAGGCAAATTGAGACTTTAATTTTTTGTCAAGTTGGTGAAAATCTATGTTGGTCTGGATGATTACCCTCTTGTAGTCTATTCATCGTGAGAAATAGCTTTAAATTACATTATAATTCAACTTCTCGTTTATTGCCACCATAATTTTTTAATCTATTTCATTCACAGGATGACTTGCACAGAGACTTTGAGTTAGTACAGTCCATGTTGGAAGAGAGACAGTCAGAAGTGGAACGCCTGCAGAAGGAGCTCCTTGAGGTTCCGTTACGCCTTCAGGCTGAATTTGACGCTTCGGTGCGGAAGCTTCAAAAGAGGATGAACGACAAGTGTGATGCTGTGGAGGAGCGCGATGAAGACCTCTATATGCTCAATGAGGAAAAGGTCCATTTTTTAAAACTTTTCAGGGTTCTGCTATCCTTATTCGACTTGATAACAAGCCATTTGTTGTAGAACGCTATCATCTACTACTAAGCAGCGTTCTATTATGCAGAAGAATCTCATACTGTTTACTTTTACCTCAGTAAATTACTTCTAGAAGGCATTATGTTCTTGTATATTACATGTGTTGTTTCTCTTTGATGTTAATCTACTTATTGAAGTTTGTTTGGCAGCTTTCCTCCTGACCTTTTAGACGAAAATTGTACTGTTAATTGATGATATTTGAGTGAGAAATGCTGATACTTAGAACATTAGTAGCGGGTCGCGCGTTCTACCTCCTAATAGCAACCTAAGTGTAATTGGCTCTCCTTTTTTAGTAGTTTATGGTAGTCGGATCTGACCAAATAGTGGAGTCCTCATAACTGCGCTTTCTGGGTAGTTATACACAATCGCCGTTTAAACCGCTTCATACTTCTGATACATTCATCCTCTCCTGCCAGATGTGACTTGTTATCCTTGTTCCAAAGCGTCCAAATATCGTGGCTTTTATAAACCAAAGTTTGTTAAAATTTTCCGTTCACAAGAAATTTTTTTTGAAGAAGAATGCTTGAGAGAAAGGCGTTCCATCATCGTCATGTTTACAATGCCTGAATGAATTAGCTTATCATATTGGGCGTTGTATTACAATTTATGTGCACGTGCGCCTCAACTGCAACTCACAGTTACACCATAGTCCATAGAGTTTCCTTGTACGTATTTTCCCATCTGTATCCTGATACTTTTAATGGAAGCTCTACAAGTTTCTATGCATAGACATTCCATTTACCACTTCCCACGTTCACAGGCATCGGCAGGGATTAGTGTGCCAAAGTCACTTACCTTTCTATGTCCCTATATATAGAGCTAACTGGGAACCTTTACTTGGTTCTTCAGGATGCCTTGGCTAATCGTGTGGCTGAGTTGGAGAAGGAGCTGGCAGTCCTGCGCTACAGTGAAGTTACTCGAGAGGAGACAGCTTCTCAGACTGATCCGCCTCATTGGACTGTGGAGTCAGGCATCCAAGTAGATCTCGAGCGGTCCTCGCCTACTCCTAAGACTCAGTCTTGTGCCGACACTGATTGTGTCAGTGAAGAGGACCTTCCCTTCGACGGCGAGTCCTTCGCTCCCACACAAGCTGCTGCTCTCAGCTCCGTTTTACCATCCACTACAGACAGAGCGCTGGTTGGCAGTTTATTCATCATGTGTTTCTTCGATAGCTGACAAATTATTAACCTTGAGTATAAGCGCCGTTTTTCTAATGGTATTACTAGGGTTTCGTGGACCAGTTACAGCAAGAGAGTTGCCGCCTTTTGAGCTTATCCCTCACAGCAGCCCATTCGAAACCGGCGTCTACTCATGGGAGCGACTTAATTGATTCCAACGATTGCAAATCGCAACTCATTAGCAAGCTCATTGAGGCCAATCGGACGCTCAAATTAGTCGTTGAGACTATCATCAAGGTTTGTGTTTTCCAAAGTTATTCATTATCGGGTGATGGAAATGTAGTTGTCTAATGTTTTACTTGACAAGTTTTACCTCACAGGAATCGGCACTTCATGGTACTCAAACGAACACTGCCAAGCCAGACAACCCAACAACTCCTGTGCCAAAGAATCGAGTCCCCTCGGACAAATTTTACTTTATTTTACTTTCGGCTCTCCTGGCGGATCGTAAGGCGAATCTGTCACTCATAACCTTGAACACGATTGACCAAGTCTGCAATACTGTTCTTGGGGATGTGTCATCTCGCACTAGACCTGATAAACCAAAGACGACTTCGCAAACTGACATGAATGACATCATGAAGGCACTGACTGATTATGCTACCGCAGAGGAACAGGTGTGCCTTTCTCACACTCAAGCCTTCGTACCTATATCCTGACTAACTAGATTGCTCGTCGGATTGTGTGGTTTGTTTTTTTCGTAGTGCATTTTTATGCATACTTGGAGGGGCTTTATCGATTGCGTACAGGTACATTATTATTTCGGTTTCTACTGCGCCCGCTTTGTGCTTAAGGTATATTTTAACTTTTTCAGCGTTGGAATTCTCTCTCCTCAGAGATAGTGTATGACCGAGCTAACCTTCAAGCCAACGTAGACTCCTTGAAAATGCATCAGGAATCACTCCTTGAAGAAGGTGGGTTTTGCTAATCATGACTTTTAAAAGACACTTGCTAAGGCTAATTGTTTCATTCTTCCAGTGGCTAGCTTGACCGAACAGTTGGCTGCTCGAGATGCCTCGTTGGCTGAGGCGTCGACCACTGTAAATGGGCTTTCTGCGGAGCGGAGCGTTCTTGAAGCAATGGTTACTAATCTGAAGAAGGAACTTGCTGATGTGAAGGCTGAAAATGAGAACCAATTTATGCTGCTTAGGTAAATTGCTCGCCCTCCATTATTAGTTAAAACAATTGAACCATGCGCGAGTTGCTTCGTGTGCCAGCCTAACCGCGCTTTCAAATGGTAGGCTTTTGATGGAACTCGTTTCGTCAATGTCATTAACCCGGCTTGATTAGTTTCAAATTCTTTTAAGAAAATAGGAAAGAGGTCACTTTTCGAGAAGGTCGCTTAATCAATATGCATCAATGTGATGTGAAGATAGATCTGTACTAAGTCCATTTCGAGAATCGGCTTTTTTGAGCATCACATGATTTATTCAAGTATTTATGATGAGGTTTGCTACTGTGTATTCTATTACAAGAGCATCATGAAGTATCTGACGCCGTTAATTCTCAAACCTCCCCACAGAATTGTGGTCTTCAGGACTTTTAAGCCCCTACAGTTAATCACAATTTTGCGTCTTTCTACATTCGCAAGTAGCTTAATTTTTACACAAATATTCCACAACTCGCATACCCATTAATGATGGGTGCACTTAGTTTGTCAAGTAATACGATTCACCCATTTCTTGCATGCTATCACCTTGTGAGGAAGGAATCGCATCTTTAATCTTTTGCAAAACGTCCATATTGTTCCATATCATCGATATTGTCATCTAATCAAGCGTACACCCTTCCTTTGTCAAGATTTTTGTAAGGTTTAAGCTGAAAATGTGTCGTTGCGAGTTTTGACTTCACCTGTTTTAGACGTCAGATTGGCGAAGAGCGGCAACATGTCGTAGAGTTGGAGTCGACACTTCAAGCCTCCCAAAGTGCCTTGATGCAGGCTAGAGAACAGGTGGCTTCCCTCGAAAACGATTTACAGGTAAGGCGCTGTAGGCTGCTATAAGATCAGAGGTGTCCACTTTAAGGGTCATAATTTTCATAGCTTTTTCGGCTCGCCTATAGCTAACAATTATGCACGCGCTGGACTTTCATACTCGAGGCTTTATTTTATGTGTGACGTTGGAACAATGTTTTGGCTACTCGTCTGTGCATAATCAACGTGGTATATATATTGCGTTTTTGACACGGCCCCTGAAATTTCTTTATGGCACGAATTCTGCATCTCCTTCATTTTTGCTGCTTAGAGTTCTTCCACAAGGATGAGGTTGGAACAAAATCGAAGTCACTTAGCGGAAACTCGAATCGCCCAATTGGAACAAGAGATTAACACTCTAAAATCGTAAGTCAGCATGTCTCGGTCCCACCACCTTGCATTAAAACATGCAGATTATGTGCATGCATAATATACTTCCGGTACGACGACGAATTTGGCCATTTTGATAACCCAAGTCCTTCTTATTTGGTGTCTCTCATGTAACTGTTTTATTGTGCAAGGTATTCCACGAGTAGGCAAAAAATTCAGTATTGTTTCCACAGGAACGTAAGCACTTGCAGATAGTTTACAAATGGTGTTATTCCTTTTCAACATTAGATCGTATGTTCGCCTGGGCCCAAAGGTCGATGTCAACGGTGGCATGCCTACTCTGCAAATTTCTGGTTTAAAGAAGAAAGAATCATTGACAATCAGTGTCTCTAATCAGCTTGCAGCGATTCGACTTCAAGCCATTCGAGCGGAGAAAATGTCCCGCGAATTGCACGTATGCCCACCTGCTTTAACCACTTTCCTGTTGCTACTTAAGAAACCGCAGTAAAAAATATAGTCCTTGTGCTGAATTGTTATCATAAACGTTCCTATTCCTGTACCTAGGGTAATTCTTCCTACTTGTTATGCCTTATTTACATTTCGTAATTAACTTTTGGCTCAATATAAAGTCTAATCGCTACCGCAGGAGTACTTTGCGTTTTTTGACCATTGTTTCTTGGACTCATCTTAACTCCAGCGGTTGTCAGCCTCATCCATATCGGATTATAGTCAGAATAGAATATGTGAGCTTTTGCTTGTCCACCTGATTATCAACATCATTGTCACTCAGTTTTGTAGGGATTAGCTTGCCCACATTAGTATGGTTACAACTCACTAATTTTGTTTGCAGACTTGTAATGAGGACTTGCGAGTCGCACTGGCTGAGGCTGAATTGTCACTCTTGCCAATGTGCCTGGGTAAGGAGAACGGCCATCTTGGAGGTGGTAGTGGTGGTACTGGCAGTGGTAGCACCAGCGGAGATGAGGAGAGCCCCTTCAGTGGTGAATTGGTTAACCATCCATTGCCGAAGCAACTCACCGACTCGGGCTTTGCTGACGCGCCGGCTGGTTTGCGACGCCTCCATCTGGCTTGTATGCGACTAATGCGCCTCGTTTCCTTCGCCACTGGCGACAACGTCGCTCCTTCCCCGGCTGCTTCCTCCTCGTCCTCCGATAGCCTTAACAACCCTGCTGAGTTGTTACGTCATGCTGTCCTCGACGGTAAGAAGGTCGATTTCTCGGAGCACTCCAGCGTCACGGAGATCTACGCTTGTCTTGTTGAAATTGAGTCTCATGTACGCAGTTTAATTGGTGGCCCTGTTGTCAATTTTCAAATAATCTCTTCTACCTCAACTGCCGCTGCCAACGCCTTCCTTGTGCAGGCAAAACAACTCATCCTTAATGGAGTCGCTCACTTGGACTCAGGTTTGGCCAAAGTTTCAGGTTCCATGGATGGTGGTTTGTGTCATGTAAGTTTCCTCGGTTAACTAACAAGCAAAATCAAGCCATAAAACTTATTCTAACTTAACAAAGCCAATAGTTTTTACTGTTATTAGGACATTGTTTAAAGTCCTCGCCTTTATAATTAAAGTATGGCTTTAATCGTCACTAACATCAAATGGGTGGGGATTTGGGGTTCTCTCGGACTTTCTTGACATTTTAAACAACTCTGCAGCTTAAATATTGGGTTAAGTTAATGAAACAAAGGAAGTGAGATGTTTATTTTGTGGATTGCAATCACAAATGTGTGTGAAATGGGGTCTGATGCAGTAATTTAACTGCACAACCTACACCTTAGAAGGCAATAAAAGTGGTCACGTGTTATGATTGGCATTTTTACCTTCTAGATACCTTCTGAAAGTAAATCAACACAGTGCTCTCTCGTCAATAATCACCAGACCTCGGGGGATTCGCGTTCTGTTTCCCTTGAGAAGGTCAGTTGGCAATGCTTTAACATCCCAATCTTTTTACGTCCGCTTCCCTATCAATCTCTTCACTTCTCACAGCTTTTGGTGTCACCATGCGGTGATGTTGGTGACGATGAACTGGTAATGCAAATTAGTTTTTGTTTTGTTTTTTCCCCATTTTGTCTTTCGGATGCTCTTTTGAGATAAGCGTTACGCGCCTGAACTAGTTAACTCACTGCTTTTCCTTTTGCAGTTCCGCCACATGTCAGCCCGATACCTACGCATGGAGTCGTACAGACGGGCTCTGGTTTATCAGAAGCAATACCTCTTGCTTTTGCTTGGTGACTTCCAACACTCGGTGCAACGAGTAACGACAAGTCTTGGTCAGGGCTTGTTGATGGGAACCTCTAGTCGACGGGATATGGAAGGCAATCCCATTTCATCACAGCACTGGCCCCTTGACTCTCCTCCGGCACTAGTTCGCTTCCGCGCTGCTGCTCGCTGCATCATGATCATTCACAGGTCAACCATCGCTTGCAAAGACAATGAGCTGTAGTGAAGTGCTTTAAAATAGGTTTAAACCATTCTTTGTTTTACACCAACTAGTATTAAAATTCGAGGAGTATTATTGAATTCGTGCTTGCTTTTTACTCCTTAATGCTTTCCATCGTTGATGTAGAGTGAAACAGTTGCGTTTGAAGTGGCAGCGGACGGGTATTCGCAAACATGCACCGCTTTTTCCCCACTCTATGGACGGTCGGTCGCCGGGCTCTAGTTTCACTAATGGTGACACCACAACTTCTACCCTCATGGCAGTTTCAAGTCCCAATGACGATATTCTCCCTCAACAGAGGCACTCTGCTGCCTCCTTTTCTTGTCGGCCTTCGGATAGGTCTTCTTTCTTTCCGCAATCAGAGTAAGTGTATTCATTTACTCTGATGGCTATTTAGGATTTACTTAGTTTCTATCAGCTCGATGTTTGACACTGACATCAGTTTCAACTAGGATGTTATTGTCTCTTTAAAGGCAGTTAGAGTCGAGACTGAGTCCGAATCGTCGGAACTACCCAATCGCGTCGACTATACACCCTCCACGTCCTTCCTACCCCCAGAAAGAGCATGTGAGCGTATCCAGCTCGTTCCATCAGCACCATCGTGTGCCCTCCTCAACACCTCCTGGAACCTCCTCTAATGGGCATTTTCGCTCTGGCCTCTCCAGGGGTTAGGATCTTGTGATTTCCTCAATTTTAGTCCCCTCCTTCCTATCTCTCTACCACTATCTATGTATATATAGAGACTCACTGTCATTTTTTTATCTGCAGACTCTGGTTTTTCATTCTGTTCGACTTATTTCTCGTGCTGCTCAAAACACTGGATGATGAATATGCATTTATTAGTGCGATACACAAAATAACAACGTTGTGTTTTAATGTCCAACGTATGAGTTTCTTCTTATTTGAAGAGTTCCTGACTCATTTTCGGTGTTCAAGTGCCAAATCGCATGATGTGAGCTGAGCGACGTCCTATCGCTCTAGAAATGAACAGGGTAATGGTTGTGTGAAAAAGACGAAGAACTACTTTTGATTTACGCAGTGTTGATTTTGCTAACAGAATGTGCAAATGGTGCAGTTAGCAGCTTTTGGTGTTTGCCAATCACACAGCTCTAGATTCCCTGGATTACTAAGTTGGCTTAAGGCGGTTTGCGTTTCTTTTAGTTTTCTAGCTAAGTTTTCCACAGAAAGTGATTGAGGGAGTAAAGTTTAGCTATCAGTTGGGAGGTTCTGAACCAGATTACGTATGCTGTGGTTGAGCACAGTGATTCACTCATAACATCAATTAATCCGAAATTGGTGTTCCGTGATGGGTGCTAGTGCATAATTTTGGGTTAATGGGTCAAAGTTTTTATTGAAATATCCACTGAGATCTACAAGTTGGCAGTGAGCGTGCGTTAAGTTGGAATGCGATTGTTGTTTACAAAAATTAGAGGTGAGGATCTTCATGTACAATGTTGGCTAGGCAATGTCAAGTGATTGAGCAGAACTTAGTTTTCTCACTGGTGGCTATTTTTGCTTCAGCTATTGTACTGGATTTTATGGAAGCGTTCTGCAGGTGCATTAGTGTGGGAACCCCGGTTTTAAGCACCAACGTTTGGGTTCGACTATCGAACAGAGCGCTACTAGTTTTAATAAGTAGGTGTCTGACGGTTACAAAGGAAAGTGCTTGATTTAAGGGAAAAGCATTAATCGTGGTTGTGCTGATGCAAGTTGCAGATAAATATCTGATGCTTCTTTTATGTGCATATGGTGCCGGGAACTGAGTTCATTAACCAATTTTTGACGGCCGGTGGACGGGATGCGATTGCATCTCTCAGGATAAAAATCTTTGTTTTCCTCAACGTTAATTTGCGAAAGTATAGGAAAATGATTGATATTGTCCTTAGGCTAACTTAAAATGGTTTGATAGTTCCAATTGTATTGCAGTAACTATCATCATCTTAAATTCATTTTCTATCATCGCAGCTAATCCTTTTCCATGCAGACATTGCAAACAGTTGCAGTAACAATCTTTGATGATCGCACACGCATATTTAGCGTAGGAAAAGGGGCAAACGAAGTGCGATTTCATGCCTAAAATGAGATTGTTTATTATCGGTATGCATCTGATCCATTAATTTCCCAAGTATCATGATTGAAAACCTTCCGAAATTAGTCAGTTTTGCCTTCAAAAATGTAATGATGAGCTGCAATTTTTTCTTGCTCCAACAAACGGAACTATTCTTAGTAATTGGCAATTCAATTGAATCCATGCCTAATGTATTACTTGGTAAATTCCCCTTGCAGTTTATTTTTTTATAATTTCAGTTAAATAGTCGTTCTACACGGCGCAAACGTAGAATATTTATGTCATCGAGTCAGTGCTCAGCTCACTGACAGTTACTGTAGCGTCGCCCATGCGGGCTGGGTATGTCTTACGCCTTGACAAGTGCGAAGTGCATTCGAAAGTTTTTGACAGAAAGGGAACAACTCTACTCTTCAAATTTAAAACCGCCATTACTACTGTACTCGGGTTGTGTTTTATTAGACACTTTAGAGAATCGAACACAACGCAGTTCAAAATTCATTATGCAACAATATAAATACTTCACTCACCGACGGAACCAAACAGTATTGCCGTTTTTAGTCGAACTAATGGTCTCCTAATGCGATCCCTCCGTGATTAAGAAATGAACAAGAGCTTTGTTTCTCAATCACTCCTCAAATAGCCCTTGAAATGTCATCTACTACAGCAATTGCTGCGAAGCAAACAATGTATGAGATTTTGTTGTAAGTGAACGGATAAAATGCGATTGTAAGACTACTTGCTTTAATTCGATTCTACTTGCCTCTTGTGGATGTAAACCTTTGAACACCTCCAAAGAGCAGCTCTAGGTAATGAAAGTTAAACTGAGAAATCATAGACCTACGGTAGAGATAAAATATCGTGAATTTTAACACAATGCGTGCACTCAAGTATCGTAACCTGGTGCCATCAAGGTAATGTTAGCTTTCAGTCGTTGAAGCCACATGATCGACAGCTTTGCGATGGCCGAAAAACGAAGTTGAAGAATGCATTTTGGTGTGGATCCGAGAAATGAACTCGATTAATTACTAGATCCAAAAAACCATATGCTAACTTGAGCCAGGATTATAAGTATTTTTACGAGATGGGCGTCTATTAGGAAGAAGCTCAGAAAACCAAACCCCTACGGTCCGAAATTGAATACGTAAATTGATGGTAAAATGTCAGTAAAAGCAAAAATAATTGGGTGTATTTTCATAAGACACTGTAGTCTGCATCATTTGCATCAACACAGAACTTACTGGTTTGCATCCAGTTAATTGTTCGGAGTTAGTTAACCCTTTCCTATGAAACTTAAAATTGGAATTCTACTGGTTTTATATTTGTATATAATTACTTAAACTAATGTGTCTTCTTTCTTCCACACTCAAAGCCATTGTCGGTCTGTAATGAATTTGGGCGCCACACCGTGCTACACGACTCCATCAATATGATGTCATAAAAAATCGGTATGAGACTTCCAAGTGGGCTGAAGGTAAGGTAAATATTCTGCATGCAGTGGCAATTACTAATCACCGAATCAGAGGAGTGGTGCTTACGTTTTCATCTTCTGCAAAGGTCGCGCTGCCTGGCTAAAGCAACGGAAGCCTAACAGAGAGGGATGGGATTAACGTAATTTGAGTACCGTCCTTTTTTTATGCCGAGAGGAAATTGGATTCGTTGCACATTCTTAAAATTACAGAGAACTCTACTGAAGTGACATGGGTATGGACGCAGGATCATTGCGACAGTTTGAGTTAGTCCTGGTTACAATTATTATATTAAACATTGGAACGTTAAGAGCTACCCGAAACGCTTTCAGACAGTGAGCTTCTTGACACTCGTATGCAAAATCAAAAGAAATGAGCTTCCAACTTGTTGTGTGGTACTCATTTACGGATCGTAAAGGGTTAAAGACAAATCAGAACTGCCGCTTGTCACAAGAACGTTGAGAGGAATGGACATCTCAAATAGTTCTTGTATTTAGCCTATCAACAATGTTCTTCTTTTGACAAGAGCTTTTATCACATTTAGTCAAAGCCTGTTCTTTAGCTTCCTCATTTTAGCATAAAAGTCAGAAGCGTAAATATAGGCAATTGTCTTATAGACTTGTTAAGAGTTTTATTAAATCGCTATTATAAGTCCTAAAATTATTTTCTCATGAAGCAGTTTTCCCTAACAGGTTTTGTGTCGCTCAAATGTAGGCATAGCTATTGTAAATGCCTCCTTACTCTGCGACAATAAGAGGCAATAAAAAATTCTCAGTGTTCAGTCACTTCTCCCTCTCTGCTCTCTCGATCCGTATCCTTTGATTGCACGAGAGGTGGTTTACTCTGTCCAATTTTATTCAAAATTGCTGAGAGAATGCAAGCTAAATGGGGAACCGAACATGAGCACGGAAATGTCCGTGATGGCCCTCATGGATTGTGTTTGCGTTCCCCAGTATGGAGGTTTAGACGCTCCATCTGTACCGCATGTTCGTAGAAGCAGCTGAACAATTTGCTTCAGAACTATTTGTAAGTGCTAACCAACAACTGACTTTTACTATCTATTCATCAATGATGGCGAGGCCAATTCAATAGATTGCATCCGCCTCTAGGTGCTTTGTCTACGCGTAAAACCATAAATACCGCGATAGATTTAAATTCTAACGCAAAGGAAATACTAACAGCAGTACCGATACCAATGGCCCGAAAATTGTTTGCATCGTGCCAAGCACACATGAAATAACACGTAAAAAGACTGGCATAATTCACCAACAAAATGACCTTGTATAAAATGAAAACCTTCAACTAAGATGGATGTAGAGAATGTACTTTTTACACTTTGTTTTTCTGGGTTTAACTGAGGCACTGAGAGTTCGGTTTTCGCAAAAAGGGTTCCTACAGCCAATCCATCACACGAAATGCTAAATGTAATTTTATCAGCTAGTCTACCGAACTGGATCCCCGCACCAATACTTGGGTTCTTTGCATCAATAAGCGTAATTATCAGTCGCTGAAGATGGAGTTCCAAGGCATACATTTAACTGTTTAAAACTGTGTTCATATTTCTTATTGAAGTAAGTATATCCGGGCGTATTATTCGAGCCTTAAACACTGCTTCTAAACGCTATGATGCAATCACCGAATCTTGGTTGCGAGTCAACATCGTGATTCGATTCAGCCTTGGAGTCAACGCCTTCACTCGTCTGCACGCGTGTGCGCTATCATTTATTTCTTTATATCCCGATTTTATGGGATGCGAGAGCACTTACTCGGTCCCGTCGCTCTTGCGCACTAGAGAGGAAGCTTTTGTTTTGTTCACAATAACTTTAACCAATTACCAACTCGTCGATCGCACCCTCGCCGCATGAATTTTTGACTACTCTACCACTTTTAATCTTGTATTTGTAAAGCTCAAGTTACAATCCACGTGTGAAAATATTATGATTGTCCCAAAGTAGTTAAGGAAGCATGGCGACACAAAAGGACTTTATATGTAGGCATGTTTTATAAGAATCAGGCTACTTTAACGTTTAACTTAAATGAACGAAATGGAAACTTTCAAACTTTTCCGGTTTACCACCCGTTTAGAAAAATATGGGGGAGCAAC